CCCTTTTCTTGATGTAGTTGTTGGACTATTCATTGAGGTTTTTTTTTTGTTGGGAGTGGGGGTTGGGCAGACGCACGAGGGTTTTAATGATCTTCTGTATATTTCCATTAAGTGCAGGTTGGAGATTGGGTTCGAGTAAAAGCTTCAGTATCCTCCCCAAAATATGGATGGGAGGATATCACACGCAACAGCATTGGTGTAATTCACAGCTTAGAGGACGATGGTGATATGGGTATTGCTTTCTGCTTCAGAAGCAAGCCATTTCGTTGCTCTGTCACTGATGTAGAGAAAGTCCCCCCTTTTGAAGTGGGACAAGAGGTTCATGTGATGCCATCTGTCAGCCAGCCACGACTTGGATGGTCAAATGAAACTCTGGCAACTGTTGGAAAAATTGTGAGAATCGACATGGATGGAGCTTTGAATGTAAGCATGCTGCTCATCTTTGGGCACAACATTTTATGCTATTTTTGTTCTTTCCATTTCTTTCTTTTTGTCTGAAAGCAAGTAACCTGGTCTCATGTGATTAGATTCCTTCATTCTTGAGGTTTCTTTTTTTGTTTTTTTTCCCTATTGAATTGATTTGGATGGCTCTTCTGGGAAAATGTTGGAGCACTATTTCTTTTGTTACGATGTTGTCATTGTATCACTGTTGGGGGATGCATCGTTTAATACTGACTTTTCTATTAATTCATTTGTTCATTCATTGAATTGCTGTAATGGAGTGGTTTTCTTTGTGTTCTGCAGGTGAGGGTTGCTGGCAGGCTTAGTTTGTGGAAAGTTTCCCCTGGAGATGCAGAAAGGCTTTCAGGATTTGAAGTTGGTGATTGGGTGCGTTCAAAGTTGAGCCTTGGCACTAGACCGAGTTATGACTGGAATACTATTGGGAAAGAGAGTTTAGCAGTAGTGCATAGCGTTCAGGATACTGGATATTTAGAATTGGCTTGCTGCTTCCGGAAAGGGAGGTGGATTACCCATTTCTCAGATGTAGAAAAGGTTCCAAGCTATAAAGTCGGGCAACAGGTTCGGTTTCGAGCTGGATTAGTTGAGCCAAGGTGGGGCTGGAGAGGGACTCAATCTGATTCACGGGGCATTATTACTAGTGTTCATGCTGATGGAGAATTGAGAGTTGCTTTCTTGGGTTTGCCAGGGATGTGGAGAGGAGATCCTGCTGATCTTGAAATAGTGCAGATGTTTGAAGTGGGAGAGTGGGTGCAATTGAGGGAAAATGCCAGCAATTGGAAATCTATTGGACCTGGTAGTATTGGTGTAGTACAAGGAATAGGGTATGAAGGAGATGAATGGGATGGAAGCACCTTTGTTGCATTTTGCGGGGAGCAGGAGAGATGGGTGGGGCCTGCTTCCCATCTTGAAAGAGTGGACAGACTCACCGTAGGACAGAAGGTGAAAGTGAAGCTCTCTGTGAAGCAGCCAAGATATGGGTGGTCAGGTCATAGCCATACAAGTGTTGGAACAATAGCAGCAATTGATGCTGATGGAAAGCTGAGAATATACACTCCTGTTGGCTCCAAAACTTGGATGCTAGACCCATCAGAAGTGGAGTTGGTTGAGGAACAGGAACTTTGCATCGGAGACTGGGTTAAGGTTCGGTCATCAGTTTCAATCCCAACTCACCACTGGGGCGAGGTAACTCATTCGAGCATCGGGGTAGTGCATCGAATGGAAAATGGAGACTTATGGGTTGCATTCTGCTTTATGGAAAGGCTATGGCTTTGTAAGGCTTGGGAGATGGAAAAGGTTAGGCCATTTAAAGTTGGTGACAAGGTGAGGATACGACAGGGGCTTGTAACACCTAGGTGGGATTGGGGAATGGAGACACATGCCAGCAAAGGGCAGGTGGTTGGGGTTGATGCAAATGGAAAATTAAGGATTGAGTTTCAGTGGAGGGAAGGTAGACCATGGGTTGGAGATCCTACTGATATTGTTCTCGATGACAGCTCTTCCGGTACAACCAGCAAGTCATAAATTATACCTTGCATTGCATTTCAAGTCCATTCCCGAAGCCTGGGGAATCGGGGTTCTAGCCTCTCCACTCAATTAGAGAAGCAAGGGAGGTACGTTTCCACTGCATTCTGTAGACATACTTGCTCGAAACTCTTATCATGACTGACATGGACGAGTCAGTTACAGGATTATTTATTGTTAATAAGTACAGAGATGGATATAGAGCATGAGAAGAAACTGGCTTGCCTCACTGTTAATTATAGGAAATACAAGAGCAGCCATGGAAAAAAATGAAACTAGCTATAGGCTTGTATCTCATAGATGATGATGTTGGTAGTTGATAAACTGCTGAGGTATATATATAGATTCACTATGGTCCACTGATATGTTATTTTGTACAAATTGAACCTACCCTACAATCTTTCAGAGCTGTTACTAGTTTTTGAGTAGTATTTAGAGCTCAAAATCTGTTTTGTCAGATAAGCAACACTCCCACAAATAGCCAAAGAACGAAGCTGGTTAATGTCTATGATCTTTTCTTCTGATTCTTAGTTAAAAGTTGGGCTATCTGCTGTTTTCTTATACGAAATATGGGACCAATGTGGCAGGTTTTTAAATTCTAGCATCCTGAGCATTTTACTTAAACAATAATTATACTTACTACATCATCTTTTCTTTTCTTTTTTTTCTTTTTTTCCTTTTACTTGCTACCACATCTTTGCTCAAAAAGTTTAGTATAAATGTCGTCCCTTCTGCACCAGAACTTTTGGTTCGGAGTTGATACTTGATTTAGTCTCAAAGAATAAGGTTGGATCTGATAATTTTAAATATGATACGAAAATAATATATGAAAGTAATATGGTTTAAAATTTTAATAAAGTTCGTATATCGTGTACGGTTTAGTAAAAAAAAAAATGTTTGGTGTGCTATTATGAATTGTGATATGATAATTTTTATATTTTACATTTGTTAGATATAAAAATTGAAATAAACAGATCTAGGTATACAAAATTATCATATTTATGTAATGTTTGATCTCTTCAAATAAAAAACATTTCAACTCACTAAAATATAAAAATAAAAATAAAAAATTTGAAATTGAATCCTCTCTATAAATCTTAAAGGGATTTTACTAAGGAGTGGATTAATAACATTTTTAAAGATTACTATGAAAACTAATATTTTCATCAATGCATCAAAATTCATAAATAAAATTATCATTTTTAATTATGTACTAGAGCAACTATGATCTGGAAATCAATCCAGGGCAAGTGTTCGAGATGAAGGTTTATAGTATACAGCTTTCTCTTTATAATTTTATAAAAAAAAAATTGTTTTCAAGACTCTAACCCGTGTCCTTTCAAAGGAATTAAGTAACCTTAAAGTATGTGCATGCATGAGTTAGCAAAATCCAATTTTTAAGCAGTATATTTCAATAAAATTTTCAATTTATATATCATGAATAATTAAAAGTGATCCATTAGTTTATCACGAGTTAAAAAATTAATATTTATATATTTTTACACATTGAACAGAAATAGTATACTATATACTATATTATTATATATTAGAAAATTTTGTACGTTGTTGTGAGAGCAAATTTTTTTATTAAAATGAGTGGATATTTTTGAATAAAATTTGAAAATAATTTATATTTTTAGGTATGAAAATATGTTACTTCCAATTTAATAAAATTTGGTTAATAATTATAATTTTAATTTAAAAAGGCAATCTATGTTAAGCACATAATATTAAAAAACAAACAATAACTTTTTAAATTAATTACACGTGATGTGACATTTATCTCACATCTAATAAATATATAATTTTTTACAATCTTATATTCAAATTAGATCCTTTCATTTATTGTTAATTAATTTTAAATTAAATACTTAATATTATTTTTCTTCACTTCAAAATTTTTTTATTCTTTACTTTTTTACGAATTATAAAAAATTACGAAATAAAAAAAAATTATGAAATATAGAAAAATATGTTTAAAAAAAAAAAACTATCACATGTCAAATAATGGTTTGAACCTAGTGTCAACCACACATGTTATGATTTTTTTTTTAAAACTTTATTAATTAATTAATTATAAATAAATAGTAAAAACATTCCTTAGTTTGGAAATTTTCAAATACAATTTTTTTTTTAAATTTCATTTGAAGGGATTTTAGATCCAACTCCAAGGAATATCTTAAAATATAGAGGAGTAACCAAATGCTGTAAAATATCGATTTTTTTTTTTGGGATAAATGTCTAAAAGAAAATAGGATTTTATGTTTCAGAAATGCCATATGCTCTAGTTTAATACGAGATGAGCAACTCAGATGTTCACCATGTGAGTTTCTAAACATTTTTCTTTTGATTTGGAGAAAGCAAAGATTTGAACTATTTTTTTGAGCAAAAAAATTATAGACTAACCTCTAGTTCAAATGCTTGGATGCTTAACTCATTAACCACTAAAAAGTATAAGAAAAAAAAAAAAAAACTCATGTGAAATCAATAGGGAACTAGGCATTCATGAGGAGACTACCATTAGGAGAAAATATACACAAGTAAACCAAAATGAAAAAGAAAAAGACCTAAATTTTATTGCTTCTTTTCTTTTCTTATTTCTAGTTATAGAAAATGGCTAAACTTGCAAAACAGCCAGTGATGAATCTACAATTTTTTTTTTTTTGAAAGTGTGTACTTATAATATATATGAAAAATTTTCAATGAATTTATCAATTTTGTCGATTAAACAGATTTTTTTTCTTCAAATTTTCTAATTTTTCAAATTTTAAAAGTGTCAAAAAATTTTTTTGAGAGGGTTCAGCGAAATTTTCTTTCACATTTTTTAAATTTTCAATATTTTGATAAAGGGTGAATACATCCCTAAAATACAGAGTGACATCTAAAAGAGTAGGCAACACATTGCATAATGACAATTTGGATTTACTATCTGAATTAAAATGAATCAGAGGTGAGCAACACAAGACCCATAAGCAAACTCAATGAAATAAGAAACAGTAACTATGTAACCACAAACACCAACATCTATTAAAAAAATATAAAGCCTAGAAACAAAGTGGGCATATGATTTGGTTTATGCAGTCAGTCTTTTTGTGCAAGCCACTTACAGAAGCCATCCTCTAAGGCTTGTTTCATCCATGCATACCTGCAACTCTCAAGTGCTTCTGGTATAGTTAGCCAACTTCTTGTACGTGTGCTTTGTTCTGGCCATGAATCTAATTCCTCCTTCACCAACAAAGCAAACATTGCTGCTTTACATAATCCCTCTGGGCTGAATTCATCTTGATGGGTTTTGCTCTTAAAATCATAGTATCCTATGAACTCCTGAATCCAATCAAATAAACAAACAAAAAAAAAAATTAGTCCCCTTTGAACAAATTAATATTAGAAAAATATGTTATAGCTTTCACAAACACAAAAAATAACGGCGAGGAAGAAAATTTTCACCATTAAATCCCCTCTGACTCCAGCTTCTTCAATGGCTTCCCTCACTGCAGCCTCCTCCACAGTTTCATCATTCTCCCATCCTCCCTAAAATCAGATACCAAAATCCATAAGAAATTCTCTTTTCATATACAGAACTAGAAACCAGAAAACTGGTCCCATAAACACAAAGAACAAAGAAAATTATCCAAGACAAATTGCAACTGTATTCTACAGCATGATGGATAGCAATAGCTTAGCAATGGTAGGAAAGTAGAGCGATGGAAAGTAGTAAGTAGAACAGTATATTTCAAAACAAAATGCTACAATTTGTACCTTTGGAAACAAAAGACCATGTCCGCTAGTTGAGTTAATCATCAGTACCTCAACTGCCCTTTCAGAATTTACATCATCTGTCTCATCTGAACTTGTATACCTAAAAGGAATACATCTGTTGAAAAAGAAGACTGAATTTAGCACTTGGAGCTTAGTATTGAACAGATTTTTCACAAAACTAATACCTTATCACATTATATTCCGAATGAAATAATTTAATCTCAATCCAAAAAGCAAGCAAAGGAAAAAAATCGGTGATTGGCTCAAGTGATAAAAAGAGTGTGTTTCTCACTTTGTTGTTTAAATTCGTATCTGTTAAAAAGTTGTGAAAAAATAATTTCTTATGAATTCGTTAAACTTGGATCAATCCAAAAAAATATATATACCGGGTAAAATCCGGAAACCACTTGCAGCAAAAAAAAAAAAAAAAGAGAGAGAATGAATGACCTAACATGATCCATTCATGGAATATATAAAATCCATTCACAACATTACCACCAAACCAGAGAAAAATAGCCCATGAATTGAAAAGAATGTAACATCTTAAATAGCATGTCTCATTAGTACTGAAGGATGTCCTACTCCATGATTAAATTCCATTCAGTTTGTTCTAAATAAATACATAACTTTGGCTTTCAATCATAGTCATATATATTAAGCTGCTAGATATACCAAAAACAAGGAATATGCTAGGGCAATTTCCCTCTTAAGTCCATTCATTATCTTTCGTTGTTCATTTTTTTTCTTTTCTTTTTTATTTTTAAGGAACCAATAAAGATTCTTTAAAGGATCATACAACTGCTTGTTTACTGGGAAAAACAGAATCTATCACCATCAATATCAATTATCAGACTAATTGAAAGTCTTATGCAACACAATTAATTAGGAAATTTCAATTGCATAATAAGTTTACGAAAGGGCCTCACAATCTCTTTTCTCATATCTCTCATCAGCCAAAACTCACATCCAAGGCTACATTGATATGCTAAGACTTTTCCCATCTCATAAATCATTCATGAATTTTCAATGTTCTTAGATTAGCTCTAAGAGAAAATATCTTTCTTAAACCATTGTCACATTTTTCAAACACTTCAACTACCAAATATACTAAAATTCACAAAGAATTCTCCTTGAATTTTAGTTCCAAAATGCAGAGAAAAAAATTCTACCTGATGTTAATTTTATTTATTTATTGTTTATATTTTGAATTTATATTTGATGCACTGTCAATATATAAATTTTATACACTATCAATAAATTAGATGATACTATATGATTAATGAAATGAATCAAATAATATCACATTATTAATAAATAAATTTTTTTAAAAATATTAATTTTTATATATTTATTTTAAAGTTAATATTTGCTTATTGATAAGTTTGCATAATCTGATTTATTGACATGTATAGAGTTTATATTCTAACAGTATATCAAATACAAATTCTTATATTTTAGTCTTATTCATTATAAGTTAAAAGGAGTTAAAATTATATTGTTATTTTTTTTTTATTGTATCCACCAATCACTATTCATAATTTCTTAAAATCAATATACACTTTCATATTTTGTAGCATAATCATCAAATTAACAAATTTTACATCTTAATTCATTTTCATCCTTCAAGCAAGGTATTATTTTTCTTTTTAACCAATTGCAACTTTATCTTTTAATTTTATTCTATATCTTTGTAACCATTTTCAATATATTTTGTTTAATTATTTGCAGCCACCTTTATTAAGTTAAAATTATTGTCAAAGTTTATTTTTTTTAAATATACATTCTTGTTTTTATATGAATAATCTTAAATCTTTTATATTTTGTCAAAAATTTAGGACAGATTGTTATTATTTTATGTTATAGTGATATTTAAATTGATTTTTCTTAATTGCTTATGAAAAATTCTTTATTTATAAAGTGTGACATTTTCATTTGTCAAGAATTTATTATGAAAATTAAATTAATAGGTTTATAGATTTATGAATGCTTAAATTTTATATCTTTATCTTGAGGATGGAATTAACCATTTTAAAACATAAATGTTTCATTGGTATACAGAAACAAAACGAAACATAAACAACTTATACACATCAAAATCAAAATTTATCTATTTCTCATGTTCATGCCAAGAATGTCATAAACCATTTAAACCTCAAATGAACCATTCAAATCTTCACTTTCCAACTTCATATAAACCATTCAAATCTTAAATACACCATTTCTTTACACCAAAATAGCAAAAAAAAAAAAAAAACTTATCTCATAATGTAATATTCAAACCTTAAAATTCATATTATCATGTAAACAACCCCATCGAATGAATAAAGCATTCATAAACACAAAAAATGCATACAATTTTAACCTGTTTTTGAGATAAAACATACAATTTTAATCTTAAATGCATTAGTTTTAAACATCAGAAACAAAATAAATATATAAAAATAACCCATTTTTTGTTTTCATTCCAATAATGTAACAAACCATTCTAACCGTAAAAAAATACACCATTCAAGCAGATACAAGAACAGCTAAAAATTAATCAATCAAAATTTTCAAAACCAACATGCACATATATTATTGATATCTACATTACACACATTACATATACAAATAATTCAAACAAAAACATACCCAGCAACAAGACGACAACCGGCCTCGTACCTTTGCTGAAGCCGACCTGTACGGGCCACCAAATCCGACATAATATTATGGAAAATCTCAATTTTTTTTTTCTTTTCAAAACTCAAAATTTCAAAATTTCAACGAAAGCGACCATCGTTCTTATTCGGACGCCTCATTGCTTGATGTTGTTTGGATTTGCAAAATAATCACGCTTGTATCGGATTATGTTGCATCCATCGTCGTTGATACTGGATTTGACAATGATAATCAATGCTGCGAAACATCATCCAATGACTTTGATTTTCTCTTGTTTATATTTTAATTTTATTTTGTAGGGATTGAATGTTCTTTTGGAATGTAATAATCAATGGGGGGAAACTTTTTCAGTTTTGGAAAGAAGGGAAGAATGAGAGAGAAGAGAGAGAAAAGGTTGCCTTAAAGTGAAGCGCTGAGAGCGGATCAAACAATGGATGGTCAAAATTGCATGAGTTAGTCAAGACGTGGGATCAATTATTTTAGTAATAACAAATTTTTATGGTAACTACTTTTTATGGATACAAATTCCTTTACTTAATTAAATCTATTATTTATGTTTATAATTTTATTGGTAAAAAAATAAAGTCTCATTCATTTTATTTAAAAATCAATTGAATTTGATATTTAATTCACGTATTTTCATAAATATTAATAAGTAGTTTTTAATTAAAAATAATGATAAAAAATATAAGTAAATAATTGATCGATTCTATTTAAAAAAATCAATAATCGATTTAATTAATTTTAATTAAATAAATAATTAAATCGATCGAAATAACAAATCATAATTGAATCTACCAAAATTGCTTTGGTTAAAATTGATTTGGTTAGATCAATTTGATTAAATAATTAAATTTTTTATCATTTTTTATTATGAATAATTATTTAATTACAAATTCAATTCAATAAAATTTAAATTTAAATATCATTTAAATTAAATCACTAAAAGATTTAATAATTTTAACAAAATTTTACAAAAAAAAATTAAAATATTTATTTAATTTTTTATTTTTACTTATTAAAAAATCAATTAATTCAATCAATTTGATTATTAATTTTAAAAATTAAAAATTAATCTAGTTAATTAATTTTATTGATTTAAAAAATTAATTATAATTAAAATCGAATAAATCAAATCAAATCAATTAAATTTGCTCAATTTTCATCAATTTAATTAATTTAAAAAATTAATTATAATTAAAATCGAATAAATCAAATCAAATTAATTGGATTTACTCAATTTTCGTCGATTTAATTGATTCATACTAACTTTTATAAAAAAAAAGTTATGTATCCAACTATTGTAATAGATTATCGTGGGATTTGGATACGGAACACACACACATATATATATATATATATATATATATATATGTAAAATTCATAGCCAATCAGTCCCGGTTCTTAGTCAAGCTCCAGTCGTCGCGCAAAGAATTCCGTCGTTCATTTTTTTTCATATTCTTTTTTAGAGAGAATTTGATATGTAAATTATCTTTTAAAAATTATGATAATTTGTATAAAGTTATATTCAATTATTACTTTATTTTATAATAATTTAAAAATTTTAAGTGAGAATGATATTAAATCATTAAAATGATAAAATCATTATCTTACGAAATAATCTAATTTTTATTTAAAAAACAAAAAATAATTCTATTAAAGTAAAAGGTAATAATCAAGATTTTTTTAAATTTATCCTACTAATAATGAGAATGAACATGCAATTTCCTTCAAATTTAATTTTTATAAACTCATGTTCAATATAGATAAATTGATCATTCTTTTCAATCTCTATTAGATATGATTTATGCTGTTTAATATACATGATTAAGATTAGCAAAATATTAGAAATTCTTCTATTATATTAAAATTATAACATCAAATCATTTGTATGTATGATTAATATTTTTTTAATTTGAAAAAAATTTATTAAATTATATCCATTCATAAAAATTTAATAAAAATTAAATTTTTAAATGAATTAAATAATCAAATTTTAGTTTATAGACTTAATTCATTTTATAATTTATGTCCATTTTTTTTGAACTACTAACAATAAATTTATTTAATAAATTTTTAAAATTATTTTTATCAAAATTGATTTATATTTATAATTTTCTATAAAATGATATATCATTATTTTATAAATTATTAATTTAATAAATATTAATTTTTTTATAAAATTATTTTAAATATTTTGTTTTTAATGATTTTTTTATTTTTATTATTAAATTTAAAACTATTAATAATTTATCATTAGTCACGTCACTAGTGATCTCACAATCTTACTAAATTAGGTAACCAAGGTAATTTTGAAAGTGACACTAAATCCTATCAAATTATTTAAATTCGAATAAAAAAATTAATTATGATGAAATTAAAATTTAAGAAAAATAAAATTAATTATTGTAAAAATATGATTAAAATTTGTGATTAAATATGTATTTGAATGTAAAAATAATGATAACGGTGGGATACATTGTAATGAAAAAAAATTATTAAAGATATTAGATTAAAAATTATATATAATAAAAATTTTAAATTATTTAGTATAGATAAAATTAACAAATAATTATTAAATTATTTTTATGATAAATTATTAAATGATATTGTTAATAAATAATTAAAAATTAATAAATAATAATATATTAAATAAAAAATTATTTCAAAATTTTTAAAATAAAAATAAAAATAAAAAAAGAATTAAATTATAAGGAAGATTTTGTATTTACAATAAAAACTAAAAGATTTAAAAAAAAAAAAAACAAATGAATGTCCAGTTGGCCACTGGACTAAATTTGGTCAGTGAAAAGCTGGTGTCGATCCTGGTACTGCGATGAAAACCAAATGAAAATTTTTACACTGCATAGTAAGATTGGCACAAATTCCAATTATAAGTGGGGTCCAGTGAAATCCAAAGGCAGCCTTAGTCTCAGACAGTTACAGAAGAAGACGGCATCCAAGAGAGGTTCGGCGTTCGCCAAGGTCTTTCAACGGAGGTCGGAAAGAGATTTCACTGAAACCGAACAAGTAGCAGAAGCAGACAAGAAGGAGGAGATCGACGTCCAAACCGACAACGACGAGACCGAAGCGCCCAACCGGGCATCCCCTTAGCTAGAGTTCCACCGGCGTCCAGCAGCCACCATTCGTCTCTTCCCCAACAGCAATCAGACAAAGCAAAAAACAAGAAAAGTTGAAAATGGCTCAGTGTACGAGGACAACCTTAAGCTTTCCCAAAACCCCACTTAACTCCACCAAAACAGGGACTCAAACTCATTTACTCCCATCAATCTCGTCCTTTCAAGCAAAACCCAAGTCCAGAAAGTACCCCAAAATCTCCCTTTCGGTTGTGTCCAGTCAAAGCCAACAACAATATCCATCTTTTGATGCTTTGCCCAACTCTTGTCGCAAAGAAGAAGTTTTTTCCACCATAAAAGACTCAGTTCATAATTGTTTATCCGAGACTAATCTTCAATTGACAGTTCCTGGCCTCAAATCCAAAACCAGAGGCAAGGTAGAAACAAAGGATTGTCTTTTTTTCCTTTTTTTCGAAATTGGTTAAGATTTGAAGTTGTATGCTTTTTCTTAGCAACCAAACAAAGGGTGGTGTTAAAAAGATGGAAATTTTTTTAATTTGGATTAATTTGTGCAGGTTAGAGATATTTATGATACGGGGGATTATCTTGTTTTGGTCACAACTGATCGTCAGAGTGCATTTGATAGGATTCTTGCCTCTATTCCCTTCAAGGGCCAGGTTTTTATACTTAATGTTTTTTTTACGGTACCTATTAATGGTAGTTATTGAGATGTAGTATTATTGCTGGAGTTTCAATTTTCAGGTTCTTAATGAGACGAGCTTGTGGTGGTTCAATAGAACACAACACATAACTCCCAATGCAGTTTTGTCAGTACCAGATAAAAATGTTACAATTGCAAAGAAATGTTCTGTCTTTCCTGTTGAATTTGTTGGTGAGTATCTTTGATATTCTTACAGTGCATTTTGTCACATGTAGAGTGGTTAATGGGAATCGAATTGTTTCTCTGTTACAAACTTTAACTCTGAATTTCTTTTGTCACATATTGTGATTAGGAGCTGTTCCTAAGTTTGAATTATGAACCAAGGTCCACTTTATCAATTAAAGCTATGAACAAGTTTTCCATTGTTCATTCACAGCATGTCAAATAGTAAAGATGTTCCATAATTTTTAGTTTTATTATATTTAGATGGGGTAATTCCATAAGGTATGGAAGATAAAGACTTGTTTAGTCTCAGAATAGGTAACTGAATTTCACATGGTCCAATCACGAAATTTTAATTTTTTGAATAGGCCTTCTATGTAAGTTCATTGTTTTTTTTTTTAATTGATGCATCATATGGGAGGTTGAAGCACCACATATTCAAAGTGATTTAAGTTTTCCATTTCTCTATGTCAACCTTATCATTTAGAGTTATTGTGGTCATCTGGTGTAAAATCCTCATTTGATCTGAATTTAAGTGCTATATGCAGTTAGAGGGTTTGTGACAGGAAGTACTGACACATCACTGTGGACAGTCTACAAAAATGGAGTTCGAAATTACTGTGGCAATGTACTTCCAGATGGTGAGGTTTCTATATAGTTAAATCACTTTCTGTTTTCATTTGGAAATTGCACTATATGATGGTGAATTAAAATGTTTGTTATAGGATTGGTTAAAAATCAAAAGTTAACTGCAAGCATACTCACACCAACGACTAAGGCTGAGGATCATGATGTTCCAGTAACTCCAGATGAGGTTGATCTTTTTTTTTCCCCAAATCTAAACTTTGACAGTTATAGGGAACGCATAAAGAATAAGAATCTTCATCTTTCATATTGCTTCGAAGTTTTCCTTTTTCCCCCACATCCACCCCTTCAAAGTAGGAAAGGCTCCAAAAAATGGGTTCCCATTGGCTAATTTAGGATATTGTTGATAGGTCTCTGATTATGTGGCGGATGAATTATTTCAAGTGGTGCATATTCCTTGCAGATTATTGAAAGAGGACTGATGACTCGAGCTGACTTTGATGAAGCGAGAGAAAAAGCTCTAAGTTTGTTTGAGTATGGACAGGTGATTTAGATTCTGTTCATAAGCTTCACATGCTGTCATAATGTACATTTCTAAGATGCATGTAAGACAATATCAAGCAACACACTGAAATTCCTTGAGATGAGATCAAATTATAATCTATGTTAAAACTTAAAATACACTAGAATTTGTCCAAAAAATACACAATAGACTAATCAAAACAAATACTGAATTGTATTTTGTGCTATAACAACCTGTTGATCGGGAAGAAAATGTTGCCTTTGGCATTTGAGAATTGCTTCTCTTTCTGTTCAACTCCTATGCTTACAGTGTTAGTGATGCTCTGTTGGTAGTCAAAATGTTCTTATGTCAAGTATTGTAGCTTATGTAGAGCAATCTTGGGTCTTTGTTTATGTATGTGTTGTGTTTGTACTCTCTTCAACCAAACACTTTCACCATTAGTTATAAAAATATGATGGATTGTTTCTTTTTATATTTCCACTTCTAATGCATGTTGCTCGATAAACTTTATTGTTTAATGGAACTGACGTAATGATTTGTATTATTTTGTTGAATATACAGCGTGTAGCTTTGGAGCATGGCCTGATTTTGGTAGATACAAAATATGAATTTGGAAAGGCTAGTGATGGTACAATTCTATTGATTGATGAGGTCAGATGTCAATTTCATGGACAGATTCCTGCTTTCTCTCAGATACACATTACACATGCAAATATATGCACTCACATACATATGTGCATGCATTCATATTCAAGCATTAAAAATTTACACAAACTGACGGCCAATAACGACATTTCCATCTTATTTTGTATTTCTAGGTGCACACTCCTGATTCGAGTAGATATTGGATTGCGAATTCTTATGAAGAGCACTTTCAGAATGGTCTTGAACCTGAAAATATTGACAAGGTATGTAGTGAATAGTTTATCCGTGTCTGATATGATTTTTAGGGACAAAAAGGTGGTCTTATTGCCAATTCACATGTGAAGATTGTTGATTGTTACTTTTAAGTCCTTGCTAACCATGTGCTGAGAAAATTTTCCTCTTTTTAATTTGTAATTGTTTATGGATTTTATAGGAGTTCTTGAGGCTATGGTTTAGAGATCACTGCAATCCCTATGAAGATGAGGTAAGTTACATCAAGAAGTTAAAGTCAATGCCCTTTGATGCCTTTTAATCGAAGGAATACTTTAAATCTCATTTGATGATGCAATCCTTAGGTCCTTCCTGATGCCCCTGAAGAACTTGTCTGCGAGCTTGCCTGGCGGTATGTTTTCCTTGTTATCATACCTTGTAATTAGGCACAGAATATATGCTATTAACAATTTAAAGAGAAAAGAAAAAAATGAAATAAAAAATTTGTCTTTTTCACTTCGATTTACTTCTTATTTCTTGCGTACTATTTTCTTCTTCATTTCTCTTCTCTTCTATCAATTTGAACACCTGTCACTGTTTTATCAGCTACTATGCATATTATGTTGCCATGCTAGCCTTAAGAAAACATGGCTATACAGACCTAATTTTACAAGCCTGTTGAATTCGAAAAACTGCTGTAAATTGTTTATAGAGAAAGATGATAATTATGGTTTGGAGTGTGTGTTTTGGGTTTAGATCCTCCCAATTACTTTTCTGTCCATTATTTTTTCAATGCATTCATCACAGTTCACATATGTGGGGTGTTGTGGACCCTAGATATATGAACGAACACGATAGTTGTTTCGACAGATAACTGAGAGGAGCCTAAACTATGTGCTTGAAACCACATGTTTTTTTGTACCTTGTGTTGCTTCGTGATGTAGAAACATTTTTACAGTGTTTTATGATTGAAGTTAACATTTCAATAATATCCGTTTGCACTGATGTTAGCTTTACTGCCAGGTACATCTTTTTATACGAGACAATAACAAAATCAAGATTTGAGGCACGAGTGACAGAGGTAAGATTTATCACTATAGATGCCATTTTGATGATATTATGCAAAGTGGCAACTTGATTTTTTTCTTGCAGGAGCCAATACATGATCGAATCTCGCGAAATGTTTCGTCGGCATTGTTATCTTTGCAGTAACTCAAGGAGATCATACGAGAGTTCATGGTTTTCCTATGATGGAGGCTATGGTGAAACTTTTAAAGAGCAGCACTCAATTATTAATAGAGTTTTTAAGTGTTTTTATCCTGTGATTTCCTGAATGGAAAATAAGCTCAGTATCCCAAGGCTTTTGGTAGATGAACATGGGGTGGAAGCCAAGCATGATTGTCCAGATGTAATGCCTTGTGCACTTATTTTGCTCTTAAATCTATAGTTAGGACCTGAATTTCAATGAATTCAAAGAAGATTAAATTACAATGTCTGACATTTTTTGTCCTTGGTCTTTGCCAATGAAGAAATACAATGCATTCATCACAGTTCAAAGCTGATTCAACTTGAAATCCTTGATTTTTAAAGTACAAAATGGTTAATGTTGAACACATTGACGTGGCAACTTGAATTACTGCATTTGTATGAATCAATTGCGATTAACTAAGATTTGAATCCAATTATCCAAACTCGAATTTTTGGGTTTTCAATTTAGATTTTATTAAGTTCAAAAATAAAAAAAAACTTAAATGTATATGGATTTGATCGAATATTTGAAACATTTTCAACACATGGTTATGATGGGTAGATCAAGTTTTAAAAGTCGTGTTAGAATGTTCAATTGACTAGGAATATGCATGGCAGCTATTATTTCCAAACGGCCCAACAATGCCAAGTTGTTGGTTTTACGAATCGAATCAAGTTAGGCCAATCCAAATTTGTCATTATCTTTAATGTGTAAGAAATAAAAATGGCCTCAAAATTTTGGAAATTTCCACATCTTTATTGTGTTATTGCCTTCTTGGCAATTACACATGAACTTTCTTCGTCCTTGGCTTGCTTTGCAAAGAATATTATGGACGGAAATCTATTGTCGTTTTCTTTCTCATTGTAAACGTGAGAAATGAAAATTGTGTACTTGAGGAATCACCTTTATGTCTTAGGCCCATCACTTCTTTTTTTAATTTAATTTAATTTATTTTATTTTATCCTTAAATCTCTTATTTTTATACATATTAAAAAAGATATTATGCTCATAAATTTATAAAAAATTATAAAATCTAAATATCAATTTTAATATATATCAATTGATTTAAAAATAAATTGACAGATACATTATCATCGCTTTTAGTTTCAATTAAAATTTTGATAATTTTAATTGAAAAATGATGCATCTCTCAATTGATTTTTGAATCAATTGGCATGATATTAGAGTTGATGTTTAGATTTTACAAATTTTTATGAGTTTATGCATATAATATTTTTTTATTTAAATATAAAAATAAGAAATTTAAAGATAAAATAAAATAAATTTCATCGCTTTTATATATCAAGTAAATTTTATTCCAATTTTTTTCTTTGGTATCATGTAAAGAAAAAAAGAGTTTATGTGGAAATGTACTTTACTGCCTTAAACCGAATAGATATTGGAAGTTTACTATATAAGAGATGTAAGCCAACAATTATGTAATGTGATAAAATGTTAAAGTCTTAATTTTAATAATTATAATTTGATATATGAAAATTTTCAAGTACCATTACATAATTGAAAAAAAAAAATTTACCATCTCATTCTTAATTTTAATAGGAATATGGAAACACATCTCATTCTTAAATTGAAAAAATAAATCCAATTAAGCTCACAAAATTTACCATTATATACTATAAGTGATTTTTAATTAAAAGATAGTGATTGAAAGGAAAAACCAATTTAATTTAGCATTAGTGGTAATTGTAAAACCTAACTTAATTAGTGACAAAATGGGAGATTTGAATTCAATTTTTTTGTTGGATGCACTTTTTTGTTTTTATATTTGAGATTGAAAAAAATTAAATTTTGGTTATTAATATTAAAATTTTAATATTTTATCAACATATCACATGATTTTTTTATTTAATTATACTTTGTTTGTTTAATTTTTTTTAAGAATATATATTCTCATTAAAAATATATATATTCTTAAAAAAAAAATCCCAACATGGGTCAGTAAGACTTTACAATCAATCATCTCACTTTTAGACAAAAAGCATAAATTAATTTTCTTAGCAGCTGAATTGTTATAATAATAAAACAAACATTTTTTATTATTTTTCCTATTTCTTTTTCATCCTTAAACAAATCATAACCAAAAGGACTAAGAAAAGACCAAAATACAGAAACAACTTGATAAAAAATGTATAATAAGTTTATATATTCAAATAATTTATAAAATATTAAAAAAAAAAAACCCAAAAAGGATCAGCTGAATATGTTGAACTATTGGGATCTGTCTCCTTGATTTTGTCTGATATAGATCAAGACTTGTTACCAGATTTCCTGATTAAAAAAAATTATATAAAACGATTATTCTACATGTTTGTTTTATTTAAATCATATTATATGATAATATTATTTAAAAAATAATTATTTATTATATATCATATATGATTATTAAATAATAAATATTTATTTTAATATATTTTTTAATTTATAAAATAATAATTAATTTTTTAATAATATAATTTTATGATATAATTTGAATAAAATAAGTATATATTAACGTGGTGTAATTATTTTATTAAATTAAAAAAAAAAAAAAAAAGACAGACAACGAATGCCCCTTCACATCAAGCTCTTTAAGTCAACGGCTGCGATTAACTTCAGCCATCATACAACAATATATATACGTCTCTCGTCTCTTTACTTCTAAAACCTCTTATCGTTTTCACTTCAAAATTTTCTCCAACTCTCAAATCAATCCATTATTTTATTAATTCTCTCAAAACCCCAAATCCCAAATCCTTTCATATTATAATTTCTTTTGAAAAAAAACTTTGATTAGTATTTTTTTTTTGAACATTTGATCCAATTTTGAAACGGTTTCTTCACTAGAATATTTAGCTCAGCTTTCGGAAGAGTTTGATTACTTCAGAATTTATTAATAGAGATTGCTCAGCAATTGTACAATGACAGAGAGTTTTGGGCCATTTGGCCCAGGGGGTTTACTACTGCTGCTGACGGCGTTGGCGGCGTCTATGGTGGTTCTTCCATTGATTTTGCCACCGCTACCGCCTCCACCATTGATGCTTTTGTTATTTCCTGTTGGGATCATGGCTGCTCTCATGTTGTTGGCGTTTTCTCCGGCGGAGGCTGTTGGAAATGCCATTGCTCATACTGTATAAGAAAAAATGTTAAATGTGACTTTTACAGAAAATGGTCGGCAATTAGATGGGCGGCTCTGCTGAGTCTAAATAGAGTTGTTGATTTTTTATGACTGTATATTTGTATAACATTTACATTACTTTATTATTAGTTATTTCTTACATATATAGTATACATTAAATTTTGAGAAAAAAAATTAATTATGAATATTTTCCATTTTTCTCTTTGCTTTCTCCCTTTATTAGTACTTGTGTATTTTTTTTTAATTTCTTCTTAATGTTGGTTATTTATAAAAAAAAATTATAATGAGACTTTTAAGAGCTTTTTTTTTTAATTAGTTAAAATTTTAATTATAGTAATATTAAATGAAGTGATTAGCATTTTATATTATGAATTTTCATGCATAGAAAAATAAATTAATTAATAAAGTAATTTTTTAAAAATATATTCTTAGAACGCTCCTTAACAAAATTTTTAGCAAATATAAAAGAAAAATGAGAAACATCGGAGAAATTGAGAACTTTTTGCAGGGGTTGTAGATTTCACAAAATATATATATATATATATATATATTATAAAAAAGATGATGAAGTCTAAAGAGATAGGAGATGATAAATTTTAAATATTAAGATTTGAATTTTAATTTTATCAGAATCCACTTCTTAGGAGAAATGAATGAACAATCTCTCAAATTCGATTGCAGGACCTTTTAATTCACGTTCAAAAAGGTTCCACCTTAATTTTCAGAACGTTATGCCCTCATGCTTTAAAGGTAGAGTAGCATTTCAATTTGAATAAGTTAAGCCGCAACTACAGTGATTTTGAAAGGCAATTTGACCTCATGGGATAATGACCATATCACAAAAAGATTGAAAGTGAAATGGGACCCTCTCTATATATATTTCCAACATTCTAATTAAATTCAATATATGGATCAATTAAATGGAGTAAGACTTTCAATTGGATTTTACTTCCAAGGGGTTGGTCCTAAGATATAATTAAACTGTCATCATTGATAATGATGTTTCGATTTGATAAATTATTGAGAGTTGAGATCGAAGATTCAAATTTTTTTGTTCTAACTTTGTCGTAAAATATTTATATTATTAAAATAAATAGTTAAAAATGCATTAACTCTTATTGGATTGTAAATATAATATTATAAGATCATATTCGATATATAAGTTTATAATAAGATAAAATAAAATAATATTATAGATAAAATAAAATTAAATAATATTATTTTATTTTATATTTAATGTATATAATGATTAAAATAAAATAATTTATTCATTAATCAAAATTATTCTTTTTTACAGTTGATATAATTTAAATTATTGATATAATTTTTAAGGGTATAATAAAACATGTAAGTTTAATATCATAGATTAAAAATAATCTTTTACTTTTTTAAAAGATAGAGTTAATCTATTAGCATATAATATTTAATCCTTTTAATAATTCAATTATTTTATTGAAATGTCTAACACACATTTGATAGGATGATTAATATCCTATCTTCAGCTAATCCTATTTGCTAAACCTAACTTATAGGATTTATATTTAATATATTATCAGTATATAAATCTTAGACATCATCATTAAATTGAATAATGTCACTTTATTAATGAGATAAATCAGATAATATTATTTCATTAATTAGTAAATTTTTTAAAAATATTAATTTTTTATATTTATTTTAAATATTGATATTTATTCATTAATAAAATAATATCATATGATTCATTAATAATATATAAAATCTATATATTAACAGTATATTAAATATAAACTCTATTTTAAATTAAAATTTTCAATTGAATCCTAATACAAAATTTTTTTTTATATAATTTAAATGAATTAAAACAGCAAAAATTATAATTTTTTAAATGAAAAAAAAATTATAACTCTTAATTTCTAAGAAACTTAATAATGGAAAATCGGTTGCGAGGACCATTAGCTTTTTCAACATTTGTACTTTGACCTTCAATTTTTGTCATTTTTTTTATTCAATCAATTCCTTCTTATTTCTTAAGAAACTTTTGAAAGAATTTTAGGTTAAATCCACGTGCTTGGAACTCAATTTCTAGATTAGATTGTCTTGATGCACTTATGAGAAAATTGAGTTGATTAAACTCTTTTTTTTAAGTGAGAGAACGTTATATGAATTTATAAGTCATAAAAATGATATTACTATAATAGAAATATGAAAAAGTGCTTGAACCACTTATTATCTGATTGTGATATGTGTGATGCGTGTCCCAAATCCAGGATATTGCACATATTGCACGGATCAGTATGTGTTGACGGTGTTCGAGAGAACTACTCGCACCAGAAGCCATCAAGTACCAACAGTGGTCGAGACAAGTATTGAGATCAAAGGTTAACACGATGGTAGTAGAAGCATATGCATGCTCTTAAAGTTATTTGGTGCCAATGGTAGTTGAAATATGTGCAAGCACTGAGAATCATTTGATGCCGATGACAATCGAGGGTAGACAAGTGCCTTAGGAGCGACAGAAGAGTTGGGGGAAGGCTTCACCTTTAACCTACCAAATGTCATCTGAGTGTAACATACGAGACAAGTGACAGTTGAATCATCTTCCCCTTGTGGACTTTGTGGATTTGGTTTATTGAACCTAACAGATAGCAACTTCAGTTTTCATCAATTTAGCAAGTATTTTTCATATCGGTTCAATAAAAATTTTGACCAACAATTTGAAATTTGTTGTTAGTTTCATTGACAGTTGTCACATGAATTTTTCAATGCATTTCCTTTTATACTAGCTTAGAATCCTTTGAAAAAGAAAGGTCCTTGCCATGCCGTCTATACACCAAAAAAATTGTTTAACTGCATTCAAAGTTGGTTAGAAAATTATACAACTTCTTGAACTACATTTTGCATCAAATAGGCACCAAGAAAATATGTATTAACACTTTGAAGCAAAACTCAGTAACTTAATTCCTTTTAGCAGCAAATAATCAGTCTTGTCCTTCTAATATCTGATTATCTAGGATATCCCGCATCATTTGTATTGGACTGAGGCCTTCAGTGCGGATTGCCCCTTTGTTAGGATCAGGGCTGATGAAGAATAAAGTAGGCAACCCTCTAACCTGGTACAACAGAGTGATTTCTAATCAATTTGATCTAAAATGAAAAGCAGCTACTTTGATTAGGCGACTGATTGATGCCATTTAGCAGTGATGGATCCAGGATTTTTTTTTCCGGGAGTATCCACTTATAAGATATAAACAAACAGTTAAAGGGAGTAAAATCAGAACCTAAGAAATAAAATCACTTGCAAATTACCTGCATATCATGTGCAAATTCATACTCATCATCAGTATCAACTTTGACAATAATTGCATTTTTCTCATACTCCACTGCTAGCTGTGATTAAAAAAATAGATTGAGATTATAATACTTGAGTTAATCTCCAAACTGGATCAAACAAATCAAGCTGGTCCTACCTGTTCATCTAACCAACTACTAATTTTTTTCAACATTATTTAATGAGAATAAATTTCAGTGAATTATTGCAAAACAATTTAAAACTATGCAATCAAATATAAAAAGTAAAGCCTGGTTTAATGCAACCAAATGTCTGAATTTAATTTGAGAAGAGATGGATGAATGTGTTACTTAAGTTCTGCATGGTGATTTAAGTGACTTTGTTCTAGGACATAACATAGTTAGGTGCCATGTTGTTGCCACTTTGTAGAAAGAGGCATCTTAAAATTTACTATATAGAAGCTATCTTCATCACTGTGATGAGATTGAGAATTTTCAGCAATTTTCTTACTTGTGCATTAAATGCAAAACTGCAGTATTTTTCAATGCCATTTCTAGGACCTACTTTCCCCAAAAATTAAGTTGATACTATGTTAAAGATGATAAATTCAGAAAATGTAAGTCGAAAAATCATGATAACATCATTTGTTTAGCGAAAAATTCTGTAGTACAAAATATCAGAAGGTTTGTTGTACCAAAAGAAAATGTCAGAAGGTCTCTTCTCCTTTAATTCTACTATAGAAGCTACCATCCAGGAGAGAAATGGGTGTCCCATATGTTCCACGAACTCTGGAAGAGAAACAGAAGTTCCAAATGCACTCATCTTAATTTACGGAACTACTTCAATAGCATAAAGTGCACCTGTATATCTAAACCTCTTTGGTTATGGAGTTGCTTCACACTGTCCATCATTTTCCTTTTTAGGTTAGCAATAGTCTAGTGCCACTGGCTTATTTTAGTCCTCTTAAGCCCTCCTAAGATCTATCAAAAGGAAAACTACAATGCAATCTCAAATATTCCTTGCTCACAATTTGTACTACGAATTTTATCTATTTCTGCAAGTCCTACAGTCAGACCAGATCTTGGCTGATACAATCTCGGCGGAAATCTTGAAATCATGGTTTCATCTTCTACTAGGTTGATGAAGTAGGATTTCACTCTTTTTGACCCTACATTCAAAGCCAGATCCTAATATGATCTTTCTTTTAATAATGCAGCGTGGCAGTTAGGTTATTTTGGGATATTTTAATGCAAAATTTAAACTCAAGCTTTCTTTTTTTTGCTTTCTGCATGGTTATATGCTGCAAAATAAATTGAAACTCGAAAGATTCATTTTTTTTACTTGCATTCTACCAACAGACCATGTGGCTGTTAGTGAAACTCCAAAGATTCTCACCTCAACCAACTAGGGACAAAACTCATTTTCATAACAATCCAAAGCTATCAAATACAACATCATAAGGGAAACTGACTAAATAAAGCTTACCATTTCAAGTTCCTGAGCCATCAAAATACAGGGTCCACACCATGTTGCATAGAAATCAATAATTATAGGTACACTTCTCTCCCCCCTTACTAGCTCCTGAACTTCCTGAGCTGACATCTTTTTCTGCCCATCCAAAATGACAAATCAACTTATCAAATTCAAAAGTCCAAGAAAAAAAAATTGCCATATGAACAAAATAAAAAGCATCCCCTCCCCCATTAATAATTTACATCCTCAATTCCAAGCAAAACAGCTCCTCTATTCCCCTACCCCATTAAAACTCTTCAAACTCCTTTATTTTCTCAAAATTTCAGCAACCCAATAAGAGCAATTGGGTAAACAAAATAAACCACAAAGCCAAAATAGTGACAAATTTTAATTTTAAAAATGTATTTTTCTCCTGTTTGTCTTGGAAGAAAACTAATGGGAGACAAAAACACAGGAGAAAATAGAATAAAGCTAAAAGTATCTAGAATTCCAACTCAGCAATCTTCAATTTCACTTCCTTAATCTTTCCAATAATGAATAATTTAAAAAGATTAAAAATTCACAAAAACACTTCATTTTATCTTCATTTTTCCAATTTTGACAGCAACCCAAGAGGGAGAATGGAAAAACAAAACAAACCTAGGAAGCAAAAAGAAAAAAATTTACCACAAGATAATCTTCTCTGACATATTTGCCAAGTGGGGGTTTGCAAAGCAGCTTTCTTGGTTGTGTTGAAAGTGAGAAAGGTCTGATCTTTGTGGTAAAAAAGAATAGTGAGTTTTGAAAATGGATTTTCGATGAAGAAAAGATGGGTGGAAATGAAGGAACTGGGTGAGAAAGTGTGTTGGTTTGGAGGATAGCCATTTTTGAGAAGAGGAGAGAGGTTTAAGGTTTTGCTCTTGGGGGTGTAGTAGAGAAATTTGTGGCTATTTGTAGCGGATGTGTTTGGGTGCTTGGATATACTATCCATTTGTTGGTAACTAGGATTTCGTTGTGCTTGGGTTTGGATGGGAAATTTTTTTTTTTTTTTATATTAGTAGATAAAATGATTTGAATTTAATTTTAAGTAGAAAAACTACATAAATTTTTTATATGAAGAAATTTTTATTTTGTTTGAGTGTCTGGATAGGAAATTTGAATCATTACTTTATTTGAAATTGTTTTTAATGGTTAATAATTTTAATTAGAGAAACATTTTTTACATAAAAAAAGAGAGATATTCATAGATTTATATAAAGTAAATAAAAAAACAAAGTTTTCACACTAATATGATAATCATTGTCATAATGGTTTTAAGACCGTTAAACAAATTTAATAAAAAAAAGTTGTCATTAATATTTTTTGATTAAATATGATTGATCACCTATTAAAATATATATTTTTAATAAAATCTTAAAATTAATTAAAATTTATTAAAAATATAACTTTTTGGATTTATGAAAATAGTTTGAATTCAAGAGTTAATTACGCAGAAGGAATGATTATCACCCTCACAATGTTCGTTAAAAAATGATACCAATTAATTATGTGTTATTCTTTAATTCTAACAAAAAGATATTAATTTTGGTATTTAGAGTTAATTTTTGTAAAACATATTTTTATTTTTAGTTGTTTGTTTAAAAAATAAATAAGAACCTTACCTATAGAAAAATTCTTTAAAATATTATAATACTTTGTTAATATTAAAGGAATTTTTATCACTTAAAGATTTCTTATGAATTATTACTCAAACTTCTCAAAAATTTTATTATCGGTAGTTCATATTTATCTTTAATATTCATATTTACCATGCATATAATAAAATATAATGTCTATAATTTAATCAAACTAAAATTTTTTAAAAATTGATTTCTTATTCCAAGTATTTAAAAAAACGAAAAATTTTTATTAAAAGTTATTCTAAATGCTTTAGTATATTAGTGTCATTTGAAATAAATTTTTTTACTTAGAGATTATTAAAGAATCATTACTTAAATTTTTTTAAAATCTCATCTTTAGAGATTTTGTTTACTCTTTTAATATGATGTACATGAATTAACTTGTAATGCTATTACATTGCATAAAAGTTTTGTTTTTAGAAGTGAAAAGTGAATAAGAGTTTTTCGTATAGAAAATTATTCTAAATATTTCAAAATTTTGACAATATTTTTAATAAAAGTTTTTTCATCTAAAGATTTTCTGAAAATCACTATTCGAACCTTTTAAAAATTTCACTATCAAAACCGTATTACTTTTAAGATTATGTAATGCAAATAATAAGTGTAATATGCATATACAATTTTTTTTATTTATTTTTTTCATTATACATTTTTTTATTATTATTATTTTAAAAAAGACATATTACTAATTTTTCTTATGTTATATTTTTTCATTATTCATTTTAATTTTATCTTAATCACTTAATTATTTCATAATCATTGTTATTGAAAATTTTTAAGGGAACAAAGTAAAGAAAGTCTTTTTATTAAAAAATTTTCTAGATATCATAATACTTTGACAGTATTTTTAGATAAATTTTTTCATCTAAAAATTTTTTAAACATTTTTGTTTGAACTTTCTTAGAATCTCGTTCTCTAAAATTTTTATTTTTATTTTTTTTGTTTTTATTTTTATTCTATTTTTTAATTATTATTATTATTACTATTTTATTTTTTTGAAAGATAAAAATAGTTAATTATAATATTTATGTATCATTATATTGATTTCATTATTAAGAAGAGTCATTCTTCCTTTTTATTATTTCTCCCTTTTTTTATAAAATATTATTTTATTGTAAATATAATTTTAGGAAAATAAATGAACGAGAAATCTTTTATATTGAATATTTTTTAAAATATTTCATTATTTTAATAATATTTTTTATAAAAATATTTTTACTTAGAGATTTTAAAAAATCATTATTCAAATTTTTTTAAAATTTTATTTTTGAAAATTTATTATTATTATTATTATTATTATTATTATTATTATTATTTGAAAGGGAATCATAATAGTAAAATTCTAGAAACTAAATAATAATAATAATAATATAGTTTAAAATTTTAACAAAAAAAATGAGTAATAAAAAATTAAAAAATAAATTTCTTATTTAACATGTTCATATAAATTATAATCCATTAATTTTTGTATTTTATATATATTTATAATAAACCGAATTATGACTTATTCGTAAGTTGGTTTTATTGCTGTGGTTGGGTTGTTTTGGCTGTTAGCGTTGATATGTAGCCAATCAAGAAATCCAGTGGCCTATAGAGTGAGAGAGGAAGGGTGGTGTAGTGGTGGTGGTGGGTCAGCTTCATGGGTCTGTCACCCACTCTCTCCTGGTATCCCATCCCATCACCCAAATTTCTACTACCATTTTCTCTACCGTTCGCTACCCAAAGTGCTTTTAGCCTTTAGTCACCAGGGAAATTTGACCTTCAACATCCCTTTTTAGCTCTCCGTCGGTTTTCCTTTTACGCTTTGCCTCTTTTGCAAAAACCTTTGGGTGGATTCATTGCTATTCGAGTATGCCATACAAAATTTGGTTTACTTGCTCCGATACAGCTTTTCTCTGTTAAAAACGAGATTTTTTATTTAAGATTTTAATTTCAAGATTTTAAAATAAAATTTAAGATAAAATACATTATTAATCACTTAATTATGATAGTATTTTAAAAACAATCTCTTAATTATTATTATTTTTTAATTTAATTATTTATGTTCTGTCAATTTTTAATGATTGATATAATAATGTTATGTGACATGTTTAGAGACAAAGTGAATACTATGATATTGAGAGGACCAAGTATTAAGGAAATAGTAAATTAAATTGAAATTTCAAGAAAGAAAATAACAATACCAAAATAGTAATTTTAAGGTTATAAATTTTTTTTTTTGGAAATCATGACCCATGCTTGCCCCTCCTAGATTTGTCTCTGCACTTGTCAAAGGGCATGTGATATTATTACGTCATTCGACGCTATATGCTGTCAAGCGAATGGCATGTCATTTGCCAAATATCATGCGGCCATTCAGATGTGATCCATGCAGTGGGAGTTGGGAATTTAGACGATTTGGCTTACAACTTCTAATATCTACTTGGGTTTTTGAATATTGAAACTTATCTGTGTCTTTTGATTGATAAGAGAGAAACAAAAAATAAAGGAAATAATCGAATAGAAATAAAAAAAAAAAAAAAGAAGTGATTTCAAAAGAAATTAGATGTAAAATGAGAAGTGAAAAAGTTGTCCTGAAGAAAATTTTCAAGTAACAATTTCTCTCGCAGTTAACTCCGCAATTTGATATTTAAATAGGAAAACTTTAATAAATTCTCTGTAGTCTGTTTCACTTGTAATTCTTTCTAATTCTTGCAACATTTAAATTCGGTTTCAAACTTTATCGTTAGTGTCTTTGGTATAGTTTTTCAAAATCACAAAATATTGCTAATTGAATGTTAAGTGAAGATTCATCGAAAAAATTATGATTTTGTTTTATCAAAAATGTTTTATAAGTATGATTTTAAATATTTATATATATATATATATATTATAATGATTCCTCATAATAATTTGATGAAAAATTGAAGTGTTACACGTTAAAGATCATAACTTGCATATTTAATTTTTAATGAAATTACAAATACAAGCAAAAACTACAATTATAATTAGACTAAACCCACATTTTAATTTGGTCAGACTTTATACCAAAAGTTTAGATGATCGATCATCTTGCATGATTTTTTACCACATTAACTGTACTTGATCACTTTGATTGCAAAATATCAGACCTTGGCTTTCATGTAAGGAGTAATATTTCCTTATTAAAATACCTTTTTTCAAAAGATAAAATCGCCACAAGTTTTAAGCTAACAATACGCCATTAAAAAAAAATGCTTGCATCAACAAAAGCAAAGCTAGAAGAAAAAGGGTTAGACTTTTTTTTTTGGTCATTCAAGGATAGGTTGAGCTTTATATAAAAGGGGAGGGGGGAAGATTGAGGTTCGACACTAGCTTTGATGTCTTCTTAAGATTGATTTGACCATTAAGACAAGCAACTGAAGACAAAAAAAAAGTTAGACTTTGCTCCTATAATATCTTCCCAATTAAAATCCCAGTGAAAGAAGGGTTTAATCCCATAAAACATTTGTTACAAATATTATTAGTTGCTTAATCATTTATATGGTTATTTATTCGAGAATAAAAGTTGTTATTTTAAATTTTCATTTGAAAATTTTTCTTTAATATATCTATAGTTAAGTATTTAATGTTAAACTAATGAAATCTTATCTTTGTGTTAAAAAAAGATCTTAAAATCATAAAGTTTTAAGTTCAAATCTTATTATATGTAAATTTGATTGAACTTTATATTAAATTTGTTTAGTTATATTTTAATTTGTTGATTAATTTGCTTGTTTGGTTAACCAATAATTTTTTATATATAAATATAATACTTAATAATGATTGTAATTTATACTTATAATTTCATCAAAAAAAAAAAAGATCCAATAATATATAATCGTACACCCAATATCTTCTTCTTCCTAAAACCTTAGAGAAAAAAAAACACACACACACAAACGGAAGCTATGAGATTTATCAAATTTAAAATTTCAAGGCATAGGACTTTTATTACAGTTGCAGAGTCTTCACTCTTCCACGTAGAAAATACTGTTTAATTAAATCAATTTATGATTGTTAGACAACTTGCTGGAATAGCTCAGTTGGTTAGAGCGTGTGGCTGTTAACCACAAGGTCGGAGGTTCAAGCCCTCCTTCTAGCGTTCCGATTTTTTTTCTTGGATTTTACTTCAAGCCCTCCTTCTAGCGTTTCAACTTTTTTTCTTGGATTGTACCCCAATAACAATAATTAACCAAACCCAATTTCAAAATGTTGCTCCGCCCGTTAATCCAACCCAATTTCTAAATTGACCCAAACCATTTTTGTTTTTTACTAATAGCATAACCCAATTTTACATGAAACTTTTTGTTAATACAAAGATAATAGCATT